GGTGCGGATGTTCCTGCCTCATCTTGGATTCCAACTCCCAAGTAGCTTCTTCAACCGAATGGTTGTCCCAGAGGACCTTAACAAAACGAATGGTCCTTCTCCGCATCATCCTCTCTTTGAAATCTAAAATGCGGATCGGGTGCTCGTCATAAGTAAGATCCTCCCGGAGTTGAATTGGTTCGGGATTAACGATGTGATTTGGGTCGGGAACATACTTCCGAAGTAAGGACACATGAAACACATCATGAACACCCGCTAGATTTCCAGGCAACTCCAATTTATAAGCTACCTCGCCAATCCTTTCCAAGATGGGATATGGTCCAATATACCTCGGACTCAATTTTCCCCGGATGCCAAACCTAAGAACACCTCGAATGGGTGACACCTTCAAAAATACCTGGTCACCAACTTCAAACTCAAGGTCTCGTCTCCTTCTATCCGCATAGCTTTTCTGCCTTCTTTGTGCAGCACGAAGGCATTCCTTGATCAACTGCACAATCTCAGAAGATTGTTGCACCAATTCTGGGCCTAAAATGCTCCTTTCGCCCACTTATGTCCAACAAACAAGTGATCTACACCTTCGACCATACAAAGCTTCAAACGGTGCCATGCGGATGCTGGACTGATAACTATTATTATATGCAAATTCAGCCATGGATAAGTGTTGATCCCATGAACCTTTCCAATCTAGGACACAAGCCCTCAACATGTCCTCAAGTATCTGAATAGTTCTCTCAGATTGCCCATCAGTTTGAGGATGAAAGGCCGTGTTGAAATTTAATTGAGTACCAAGTGCCTGCTGCAAGCTAGTCCAGAAATGAGACAAAAATCTGGTATCTCTATCTGACACAATAGACACAGGGACTCCATGCAGTTTGAATACCTCCTCCATGTACATATTGGCAAGCTTTTCAATGGAGGTGCCAGTCCGGTAGGGTAAGAAATGAGCTGATTTGGTTAATCGATCAACGATGACCCAGATGGAATCATTACCCTTAAAGGTTCGTGGTAATCCAGTCACAAAGTCCATGGTGATGTTTTCCCACTTCCACTGAGGAATAGGTAACGGCTGCAGTTTTCCGGAAAGTCTCTGATGTTCAGCCTTGACCTTTTGGCAAGTCAGGCATTGTGAGACAAATCTAGCTATCTCCTTCTTCATGTTCCGCCACCAAAATGTACTACGTAAATCGCGATACATCTTGGTGCTCCCTGGGTGGATTGTATAGCTAGTATAATGGGCATCTCCCATAATCTCACGCCTTAAAGCATGATCTCTGGGTACACACAGCCTGTCACCAAACCACAGAATCTCATCATTAGAAATCCTGAATTCTTGCATGTGGGGTTCCCCGGCTCTTACTTTTTCCTTCATCTTTTGCAAGAAGGAATCTTTTTGTTGGGCAAGTTTAATTCTATCTATTAATGCCGGTTGTGCACTGAGGGCGGCTAGATAAGCCGTAGTGCTGTTCATTCTCAACTCCACATCCAGTTTCACAAGATCCTCAAGTAACTCCTTCTGAGTGGCAAGGATGCTAGAGGCAGTGCCAGAGGACTTCCTGCTCAACGCATCTGCTACCTTGTTAGCCTTGCCCGGATGGTAGCTAATGGTCAAGTCGTAGTCCTTTAAAAGTTCAAGCCATCGCCTCTGCCTCATATTAAGCTCCTTCTGAGTGAAAATATACTTAAGGCTTTTGTGATCAGTGAAGATTTCACAAGTCTCACCATACAGATAATGCCTCCAGATCTTGAGTGCAAATACCATGGCTGCCAACTCCAGATCATGGGTAGGGTAATTTTCTTCACAAGGCTTTAACTGCCGAGAAGCATATGCAATAACCCTATCTTTTTGCATCAAGACACATCCTAAACCTTTTTTAGAGGCATCACTATATATAGTGAATCTTTCCCCATTAATTGGAAGTGCAAGCACAGGAGCAGTGATCAACTTCTCCTTTAAGGTCAAAAAGCTCTTCTCACACTCTAGGATCCACTCAAACTTGGTGTCTTTTCTGATAAGACGAGTCATGGGCAGAGCAATTCTAGAGAAATCCCCCACAAATCGGTGGTAATAACTAGCCAATCCCAGAAAACTACGGATTTCTGCAACACTATTTGGCCTCTTCCAATCAACCACGGCCTCAATTTTCTGGGGGTCAACATGTGACCTAGGAATGCAACATTATCTAGCCAAAATTCACACTTCTTGAATTTAGCAAACAGCCTCTCCCTTCTCAACGTCTCGAGGACTGTCCTCAAGTGCTTCTCATGAAGAGCATGGCTAGAAGAGTAGACCAGAATGTCGTCAATAAAGACAACCACAAACTGGTCTAGGTACTTGCTAAACACCCGATTCATCAAATCCATAAATCTGGCAGGGGCATTTGTCAAGCCAAATGGCATGACTATAAACTCATAATGACCATAACGGGTGCGAAAGGCAGTCTTTGGCACATCATTCGGTTTAATCTTCAACTGGTGGTAGCCAGATCGAAGATCAATCTTAGAAAATACCTGAGCACCCTTGAGTTGGTCAGACAAGTCATCAATTCTAGGAAGGGGATACCGATTCTTCACAGTCACCTTATTCAATTCCCGGTAATCAATGCATAGCCTGATGCTCCCATCCTTCTTCTTGACAAACAACACTGGAGCTCCCCAAGGTGATACACTAGGGCGTATAAACCCTTTCTCAAGGAGTTCCTCCAGTTGGACCTTTAACTCCTTCAATTCTGCAGGAGCCATACGGTATGGTGCTTTGGAAACGGGTCCGGTGCCAGGAACAAGGTCAATAGCAAATTCAACCTCTCTATCCGGAGGTAAACCTGGGAGATCCTCCAGAAATACATCCGGAAACTCACGCACCACCGGTATGTCTTCTAGTCTCGATGTCACACTACTAGCATCAGTAACAGAGACTAGGAAGCCCTGGCAACCATTTACAAGATATTTCTGAGCCTGTAAGGCAGATACTAACACGGGTAGAGCAAAAGAACCACTGCCTTGAAAACTAAATTCTGGCTCACCAGGAATATTAAAAATTACCCATTTTCGATGACAGTCTATAGAGACAAAGTGTTTTGACAGCCAATCCATCCCCAAAATGATATCAAAGTCGGAGATATCTAAAACAAACAAACTAGCACTCAACTGTCTACCATCAACATAAATATCCACAGTTCTACACACCTCCCTAGTAGTCATCACCCCTTCTAAATGGGTGTCCACATGCAGTTCACAATCAGAGGTATCAACAGGCAAGGCTTGTTTCAAAACATAAGATCGAGCAATAAAGGAGTGCGATGCACCCGAATCAAATAAAACATGCGCATAATCAGAGTTAACAGGCAAGGTACCCGTGATTACGTCAGTAGCCGCAGCTTCCTTGTGAGTCATCACTTGCACTCTCGCCTGCTGGGCTCTTGTCCGAACCCCAGTACTCTGTTTCTGCGCTCCCTGACTGGTAGAACTCTGTGGAGAGGTAGGCTGAGTACTCTGGGCTTTGGGGTCTAGCAGTGGACAATTTGCAATCCGATGTCCCTGCTTGCCACATTTGAAGCAAACCCCAATAACAGTGTGGCATTGATCCCGGGTGTGCCCAACCTTCCCACAAACGTGGCAAGTAAGCTGAGTAGGATGAGCACTGGGCCGTTGATGGTTTATAGACTATTAATCAATTGCTCCAATGAGAAATTTCCCGACAAGTTTCCGCTTCCGGGACTAAGCAGCACAAAAGTATCAAAACACAAGAAACCAACACGTATCAGGAAAAGAATCACATAAGCGCCTTTAATCAACCCCACTTTCATGCCTCACCGCGTTCCTATCATTCCTTAGCTAGCCAAGTTCTAGACTAATCCTAGGCTCTTAAATTATCCTAGGCTCTGATACCACAAAATCTGTCACGCCTCAGAACCCAAATCCGGGGTCGTGGTAGACGTCGTGCACTCGTGAGCGAGGCCCACAAATGCATAAAGCTCGAGACCTACTGAGTTCTTACTTAGCAATTCAGATTTAAGCCCTTTAATCTACCAAATAGTTACTAGTCGAATGTACAAAATTTATCACTTCATATATACAATCATGACTAACACTAAATTCTGTACACCAAATTTTCTATGTCAAGCATGGGTGACTAACGGCTTAGCTACAAAAACCTAAGTCCAAAAGTGCCTAGCCGTCTAGCTCGTCACTCCCCCGGGCTTCCCATGCGTCGGTCTCACTACCTGAAATGGTGGACAAGGAAACCGTGAGATAGAAATATCTCAGTAAGTAAACATGGGGGCCCGACATCAAAGTTTAAAGCATGCCAAATAATCGGTTGAAACAGGAACATAGCGTTTCAAGAACAGAGCGTTTTAATAACAAATCATTAATGCAAAATAAAATCACGTAGTGGTCTCCTCAATTAGTCATGGCCAGTGTTATAAACCTCCCATTGGCAGGCACACGAGTACTAGTGTATAATCCCCACTAGTAGGGCCACGAGTGCTAGTGTATAATCCCCACTAGTAGGGCCACGAGCGAACCGATTCTATCAATAACATGTCGACATGTGCTAACGTTTATAAACCTCCCACTAGCGGGCACACGAATAACACGACTATATCGGAGACAAAACCAAGCAAGATTTACAGAAACCACGATTCACAATTGTTCTCACTTTCAAAATAAACCGAAAAATCTCATGTGGGCATGCTCAATTCTAGAAAAGAAGGAAAATAATAAAAGTTCAAATTCCCTTTTTAATCATGCTCAAATGCAAATAAATCCATTTAAACCTCGCCACCATCTCAGAAAACAATTAAAATATGCTTCAAAAATTTATGGGCTTTACCATAATTTACTTACCTTAATCACGCAGACAAAAGGCTTAATCCAAGTGCTGGGATCACGGGGCAATCAAGGACCTAATCACAATATTCCCAAATTAATATCTATAAGTAAATTTTATTTCTTTATTTATTTCCTATCCAAAAATTGGGCATTCACTGGGATTGGGTATTTATCTATGT